GATCCAGGCCAGCAAACACCGTGGGCGTTGTTGGCTGTGGTCCCTGAATGATCCCCACTGCCAGACACATAGACGCTCGCACGATGGCAGCAGCTGTGGGGGGACTCACTTGTGCCTCTTCCTGGGAAGGTGGGCAGCCAAGCAGAGGAGGGCACTGGGTGCCCAGGGCCACTGCAAACCCACCAGGACTCTGTTGCGCAGCCCAAGAGGGAGGGTGTGTGGCTGAGGTAACTTCAAAGCAAGCTGGCAGCAGGACAATCAGGACGGAACCCCCTGTACCCTTGGCTCTGTGGATGGGCCCTGTCCCAGAAGAGTTTCCCCAGAGTTTACCTACAGTTTCCTATTTGTTACCATGAAAACCCCTCAGCGGCATTTCTGTCCTGCCCATCACACTTGCAAATTCACAGCGCGTTGGTCATTAAAGAAGGAAAATCAATGAGATTTGATCAACAGCAAAATCCTGTTGATTAGGTTTTGTGAACAGGGTTCACTGAACAGAAAATACCCTTTTTGCTGATCCACATGAGAAGAGTGAGAGATTAAAATACATAGGAGGTGAAAAACCAAGCAGATACACAAAGACATCCTTCATGTTACATACTGGGTCACCTAAAGCTTTTGGTCAAAGAAGTGTGGAAAAATACAGCAGGTACTGTACATCAATTGATAACAGTTATAGCCAAACAGTCTGTCTTTGCCCTCACAGAGGTCACCCCCCTTTCACAGCAGATCCTACTGTCCTCATGTGCTGCAGCTCACAGGCAGACCTTGACCCCACAGAGGTGGTCCCCACTGTGTCCCCAGCCCCCGGCTCGGTGACTTTCCCACCACTGCCCAGCCCGCACTGCCTGTCAACTCCTGGGGTCCCAGGGGCCCACCCTGACTCCCAGCAACCCTGGCGACAGGACTCAGGAATCCTTGTAAAGCTTTCTAAAAACAAAAACCTTTTAAATTAGAGATACTGCCTTAGACTTCAGTATGTTCCCTATAGCACCCAGCATGCTGCCAATGCAAGATATATCTTCAAAACATGCTTTTTCAGGTGGCAAGACAAATTCCTTGAATCCAAGGGCTTGGTTTAAAAATCTGATGAAAAAGAGTGGTGTTATGTCATATATAACTGAGAGTAAGTAGAACTTCAGCTGGAAAATTATTCATACACAGCTTTTGGTTGTAATTCTTTTGATATATAAGATGGCTCTTAGAATTTAGTAATAGATAATTTTGATAAGAAGCAAAATATGGGCTCTATTTTTTTCAAAGATGCCACAACTTAGAAAATACGACAATTGCCTGTGCACGGATTAAGACAATAACTAAAGTGATCACTTGCTGCTGATGAAGTCTTCATTAAAATATTGCAAATTTTACTTATTTGCATTCAAAATGCAAATTGGTTCCTCCTTCCCAAAAGAACTGAGTTTGCTAACAATAACACCGGTATGAAAGAGAGAAGGAGCAGTCGACAGAGTCACCTTCCTCCAAGGCCTTGGGGGAGACCAAGTGCTTGTCCACCAGGTGCAGACTCTGTTAACATTGGTGATAGACACACATCCCAGGAGATGTGGAGGGGGGCTGCGATGATGCAGCGGTTTCAGAAAAGCACATTTTAGTAGTTAGTAGGTGGCTTGGTGGAGGGGCAACTGATAAAATCAGAGAAGCCAAAGCATCTCAGTCACCAGAGAAAGGACCTCAACCGAATAAGAGGATTTCGATGATTTTACTGTGGTCAGTATGAAACATCCTTCAAGGTATTTATTCCCTTCTGCCTCAATTCTATGTTCTCTAAGCACATCTCTGATTATGGCTTCCTAGATGTCTCAGTGTCAGGAATATTCTGGTTATCAGGAAGGGATTATTGCCATAAAAAGTCAATAAATTAGGGTTCTGATAAATACTTAAGGCAGCAGTCTGATAGGATCAGAAACTGGTCCTACTCAGCTAATTATAGGAATTGAACAAGAGTCAAAGTCACTGTCCCTTCCTCCTTCCTGAGCCCCATCCTGAAGGTTCCCTTTGGCCTCAGTATTAGCACTTCCTCCCCATTAAAGCTTCAAAGACTGATTAAGTGAATATATTTTGCTAGGAGCTTCCTAGCAGCCAAGACAAAAAGGAAAATCTTGGGGGGTAATTACTTCTCATTATCTGATGAAAGGATAGTGTGGGAACCAGTATTAGATGATACCAAAATCCTGTTTTCATTTACCATATAGACTTTAGGTAGAAAAAGACTTGGGAATACCAGTTTTACATGGTTTCATTCAAAGAAAAGCAGATTTTTCAAGAGTTTTTAAAAGAGGAAACTCTTCTTCAGCTAAACCCCAGGGCTATCCCTATCAGAATGAAGTGATTTAGAATTTACCCAAGTCTTTGAAAAATGTTAACCATGTTATCTTATGTAGGGATAATAGCATACTAAAGTTCCTTTCAAGTCAGTTGTTTAAAATACAGAAAATATTTCCCCCTAGAATCAGTAGCCTTAAAATTATGGGAATTCCCAGAGGAAAGGCCAGAACATGTCTGACCCGGAATGTAGGTAAAACGTCGCTAACAGTAACCATGTCAAACACAACTTTGATGCCCGGACCTTGGGTCGGGTCGCTCCAGACTGCCTCCGTGGCTTACCCAGGCCAGCTCTCAAGTGGGGCTGGCTCAGACCCCTCCTCTCTGCTCAGAACCAAGCCTGGGCAGACCCTGCTCATGGAAGCCCCACACAACCTCCCATCTTTTAGGAAACTAGCTTCTCTAAGCCTGTGATCAAGGCTGAAAAGACAGATAACGATTCTGCTGTCTATCCTCTCACAGGGAAGAGGAGAGTCTCCAGCTGGCTGTGGGATGGTCCCCACTTGCTACTGGGAAGGCTTAGCCAGCCTGCCTCACATCAGAACCAATCAACAAACAAGCACAGCCTCTTGACCACCAACCTTGCCAGCTGTTGTCCCACTTCTTCGGTCTTTCAAACAAAGTCCCTGGAAGCCTTAGCCCCCCGGCTGCCTCCCCTCCTCCCTGCTGTCTGCTCTGGGGCCCCCCCGGATCAGGCTTGTTTTCCCCTCACTGAACGGCCCTCTCAGGTTGACATGGAGGCCACATTGCGAAGGCCCAGCATCAGGTCCCCACTGCATTTGTCATGGCTTCTCACCATCCCCTTGAGACCTTCCTCCTCTGGGTTTTGGGCCCCATGGACCTGGCCACCTGCTTGGCATTTGTCGGGGGCCCCTGGCTTCCTGGCTTCTGACGGCTGCAATGCTTCCAGCTGCTCACTGGCCTTGCTCCCTCTAGACTCCAACCCTGCAATGACTTCAAGTGTCTGCATCTTCTCTGGACTCCCAGATGCGTCTTCAGCTCCCATTCGTCCCCAGCACTGTAACCATGTCATGGTCTACTCAACGTCCTGGACACCTAAAGGCTTCTCGGTGTCAGCATGTTCAAAACACGGTTCTCAGTTTCTTCCACTCCATGAGCCTGCCTCCTCCCCAACATAACAATGCACCCAGGCAAAAAGCCACACTAAGACAACAGCAAGCAATCAAAGGGACTATTCCTTTTCTCTCTCTGTACTTCCCCTCCAAACCGTCCACAAGTTCCGTCAACTGCCCCCTCCAGGTGGGTGCCCCTTCCCCACCTTCCCCACCCCAGTGCGGCCTGCAGTTCCCAGGCCACATCCTTTCTCCTCTCCCTGTGGCATCTCTGCCTCCCTTCTTACTGTACTGCAGTAAAGTTCACACAAGACTGAGTGGTCTTCTAAAATAACAGATTGGATCACTATACTCTCTTCCTTCAAATTTTCTAATGCTTCTCCAGCATGTGAGACCAGAACCAGCAGCCACGAAGGACCATATGCTCCTTCTCCCCCCACACCTGTGACTTCCTGTCCTGCCCTCTTCCCCTGCTCACGCGCTCCAGCCACTGGCCTCTGCTCAGCCTCGGCCACACCAACTCCAACTCGCCTTGGTGCTGGTGCGTCCCTACCAAGAGCACTCCTTCACCAGATCCCCCGCCACAGCGCGCATCTGCTCACAGATTGTCCCCTTTCAGAGACCCCTGCGACAGCTCCAGCTCCAGTCCTCCCGCCCCTCCCTCTGCTTGATTCTCTTCCCGAAAGAAAATCTTGGTTTTCTCTCCAAAGCCCCTGCATTTGCTTACTTACTTATTTCCTGTTTTCCAGCTAGAACATGAGGCCATGGAGAAGGTCCTACCTGGACTCCCAGGACCAGGAACTGAACCTGCCCAGAGAACGAAAGCAGAGGCCACTCCCCGAGCACTCCCAGCTAAAGGGTGTCCTCTGCTGGCCCGGGGCAAGGAGCTCTCGGCTTTTAGGAATACATAGAAACAGCTAAGTTGTGTCTTCTCATTATAAACATGCCTGAACACAAAGCGATCACTTTTAGAGATGGTCACCACCTTCTCTACGTTAGAAACAGAGAAAAGCACATTTGTTTAGTATTTTAGGAATTTTGCTTCCGTGGTTCTAACAGCTTCATTTCATAAAACATTTCAAATAAGCCAAGAACTGCTTGGTGGATACTTCATTTAGCCATAAAACCCATCAGATAAAAGTAATGTAACTTATTTTTGTGTTGAAAGTGCCCTAACTTGATAAGAATGCAATTCTTTGTTGTAATATTAAATTACTAAATTAGCAGTAGTATTAATCAGGAAGGTGCCTGACCTGATCTCAAAAAATAAGTGATAAAAAACAAGAATACCTGTCAAATAAATCCTCAAAAATAAAAAATAAATAAATAAAAGAGGGGAAAAAAAGCCATAGAGGTGCTTTAGAAACCTCATGTGAGGCTGATTCTATATTCTGCGTATCTACATAGCCTGTACCTATAGAACAGGGTATCATTCTAACACCGAGGACTGCTGCATCTTTCCCAGTCACAGACAGTCTTCTAGGCCACTTTGTCCACAAGGCCCCTTCTCAGAACAGAGAGAATCAGAGAGGAGCAGGCAGAGACCTACGGGAGGTAGGGTGCACAGCAGGGCCCCCTTTGTACCTGTTGCTTTGCAGGAATGCGGGCTGCCTTCTGTGGGGTCATTGCAAGTAGGCTCCCAGGGGTCTGTCCTGTCTCTCAGAGTCAGCAAGGCAGGTCCTTGGCTCCCACTTTGAAGTGTGAAGGGGAGGCAGCTGGCTGGAGAGAACACAGGGCATGGGGTGAACGTCAGCTGGTGCTGAAATGCACCGTCCTGCCCAGGAGTGCGGCTCGCCCTGGGCATCTCCGGTTACAGATAAGACCATTTATGGAGATAAACACAGCCTGACCAGGGCTGCAACGGATCCTTAATGTGGGTGCTCGCCCACAACCCACACACAAACCATGGGTTCAGAGCTGATACGGTCAGAAATTACACCACCTGGAATAGCCTGCCCTGGTCTCGTCTGGCGGACTGTGAGAATTCGCTCTTTGCAGGGGCGTTAAGGCGATGATATGGCAGGGATTCCCAAGGGGATGTCAGACAGCCTGCACTGTCTAGGCACCTCCAGCCAGACCCAAAACGTAGGGAATGTGAGCGCATGCGTCCCAGTGGGATGGAGGCAACAGGGTGGGTGTGGGCTGAAGAGCCAGGCCGACAGGCTTGCTCAATGCGACTGGGACCCTAGTCCGGCTCTGCTGCAGACCAGTTCAGGGCGCCAGTGACCATGCCGCTCCCCGCTGGACCTGCGGGCCTCAGACGCTCTTTTGTCATACGAGCGTGTCTGGTGTTAGGCTGTGTGCAGCCACTTTCATGTTCTTTAGTGTGAACAGCAAGCTGCGTGAATGCGCGAGTCAGGGCTGGTTGCCATCAGGTGATCGGTTGGCATCTGGGCGCCCTGATCCATGATGCACTTCAGCGATGTTGATGTGTAAGAACCTCCAAAGCCCCCCAACCCCCGCAGATGGCCCCCGTGTAGATCCCTCAGCAGTAGATCTTCATTGCTGGTGGCACAAGGGTTTGTGGTCAGAGCAAAGCGGGTAGGTCTGGCATCCCAGTGCTGGGATGGGTGGAGTTCAAGGAGGACACGCTGGCTGAGCGCCCCGGGCTCTGCCTGGTGGAAGAGACCCCAGGCACCCTCTTAGGTTCTGGAGCTGTGCACGGACGCTCTTCGGGGCCTCCAAGGTGAGCCGAGGGCCGCGAGAGCAGCGCTGGCCTTCCCTGAGGGAACATCTCCCAAGAGGCCATTAGCAGAACACGGGATGGGCCGGCTAGCAGGCGCCCACCACGCTACAGGCCGGGGTGTGTGCGTCCGTGCCTGCTCCCTGCCTCAGCCGCTTATGTGCGGCAGGATGTGACTGAGACTCACTTTGCCTTCCAGTGCCCCGGGACTGAGGAGACAGGGAGGCGCCGTGTACCCTTCCCCCAGCCTTGTACACAGTGCCCTCGCACATTTGAGAGAAATCCATTGACTCAGGCATTGCTGAAATGGGAGTCAGCCCAGTGTCCATGGCTGGAGGAAATTAACTGTCCCGCATACAAAGCAGAAGTCTTTGTGAACCTGTCTTCAGCCAGGTGCACAAGTGAACATGTGTGTGAGCACAAAGGGTGTGGCTCCAGTGGGTCCCATGCCCAGCAACACGGCGACTGAGCGCCCAGGGGAGCCTGTTCTCCTGTCCTCGGCGCTGTCTGCACAGCCCTGGCAAGTGGCAGGGCCGGCGCTGCGAATCTGGGGCCACAAGTGAGGGGGCAGGTGCTGGGGCCAGGAGGGGTGGGTTCTGCGCGGCAAAGGCCCAGCTGAGAGACCCCCTGAGCAACGTGGCACTCGGTGAATGCAAGGCTGGGAGCTGGTGATGCCCACGAGGGCTTCACATGCCAGGCCATCAGTTTGCCCTTAGCTGTCCTCAAAACTAGTGAGGTGTAGGGACACAGAGATTACAAAAGTTTCTGACAAAGTAACCATATTTTTATACAAATTAAAACCAGGATTTAAAAGATTTTAATAATAAGATCAAAGACATTCATGCTAGAACACACGCTGATCATGCCCCCAAACTTGAGCCGACAAAGGCTGCATGTGTGCAGATGAGCAGCATCTCGGTTTGAGCCAACTTGTGTTTAGACATTTTTCTCCTCCCACAACTGTTCAACAGATTCCAGGAATGCTGTGTTTGGGGCCACTGAAACACCACATTTCCCTGAAGGAAAAGGAACCCCTAGGGAAGTAAAAGATTCCACAGGCATGACAGGGAGAAGGGTAGGCACACACATACATGCCCAGACGCAGGTGCACATGTGCACTCTCACACACACGTGTGGATACACATGTACATGCATACATGCACACACACACATACACAGGCTAAGCCTCTTTCAGCCCAGGAGGGTTGGGTGCTAAGGCAGACCAATCAGATAAATGAGGCCCAGGAAAGATGACACAATGTAACCTGCTTGGCAGAAAGCACAGGATCATCAAATCACTCTGACAGCCAGAAGCTCCCCGCCCCGCCGGGTGGCTGTGCCCCATATTTGCAGAGATCTGGAGCTCAGTCTTTATTTCCCAGCCCCTGAGTCTTCCATTGTTAACCCACAGTCACTGCTACAAATTGCTTCTTTCCAAGCCCAATCTGTCCTCCCAGAGCAGTTAGGTTCCCTTTCTTCTGAGCACCAGGACTTTGGTTCCGTGTGACATTGAGTGCAGGCTCATTTACCCAGGAGGTCCCCCCCTCAGGGCCTGACTGCAGGGCTGTGGCACATGCTGGGGACAGACAAGGGGAACAGACACACTCCACCAGAAAGCACACTGAGTCATTCTCCTGTCCAGACTGGAGGAGCCCCAGGTGCCCAGGCATCAGCCTGGGAGTTGGGGAGTCCTTCAGACGAGTTGGCACCAGGCCCAAGTTGTAATTTTCCACAACCGTGAGTTTCACAAATTGCTTACAAGTGACTCCATTGTGTCCTCCACAGTGCGACAGCTCATAGCGGCTCTCCCTTCCCTTTGGTTCTCTCCTCTGCTCGCGCACTCTGTGGGGGGACAGGGGAGAGCTGTGCAGGGTGGACCACCAGCCCCCTGACCCAGGGACACGGGCTCCGCTGAGGCAGCCCCTGACCGTCAGCAGGAAGGTGGAGGTGAGGCTGTCCTTTGCCGTAAGCAGGTTTCAGAGGCTCAGGCCCAAGAAAAAGACAGTGGACTTGGAGACTGACACATCAGTGACCCGTGAGGACAGTTCCCGTCGTGTGCAGAGAAGAGCAGCCAGAGGACGCGTGGAGGCTCAGAGCAGAGGCAGCAGTGGAGGGCCACACGGGTGCGCTGGGCACTCTCCCCTCGCTAAGGGCCTCAGCTCCGCAGGAATAAGGGGGAAGGGGTCTCACACTTGCAGCCCACACCAACCAGGGTCAGTGTGGCCACTGCAGGAGGCGACGGGAGGCAGGGAGTGCTTGGCCTCAGGGAGGGAGGTGGGCTTTCCCTCTGCGTTTAGGAGAAAGGAGGGCGGGGGGAAGTCAGAGGACTCTCTCAGGAAGAAAAGTCAGGAGATCAGGTGCTCAAGTCGGTTTTGAATGTCTGAGTGGAAGGATTATCTATGAACCCAAGTCTTTCTTTTTTAATGACTATTCCTGGTTTAAAATTTTTTTTAAAGTCATGCTACGTATAATTAATGTAAAATTTGCCATTTTAACTATTTCCAAGTCATCACCACCATCCATCTCCAAAGCTCTTTTCTTCTTTTCAAACTGAAACTTTGCCCATAAACACTACTTCCCATTCTTTCCTCCCCTCAGCCCTTGGAAACCACCATCCTACTCTGCTTCTAGGAATTTGACTACTGTAGGAACGTCATATAAATGGAATCACACAATATTTGTCCTTTTGTGACTAGCTGACTTCACTTAACTATGTCTGCAGTTCATTCATATTGTAGCACATGCCAGAATCTCCTTCCTTAAGGCTGTATAATATTCTACAGTATGGATATGCCACAACCTGCTTGTCCATTCATCAATCAGTGGACACTTGGGTTGCTTCCACTTTTTTTGGCTATTGTGAATAATACTGCTGTGAACATGGATGAACAACTGTCTCTTCAAATGCCTGCAGTCATGTCTTTTGGGTATGTTTCCAGAAGTGGAACTGCAGGATCATATGGTAATTCTTATTTATTTTTTTTGAAGAATCACCATACCGTTTTTCACAGCTTCTACACAATTTCATATTCCCACAGCAAAACAGAGGGCTCCAATTTTCCAACCAACCTCTTGTTATTTTCTTTTTTTTTTATAATAACCATCCTAACAGGTGCAAGGTGGTACCTCACTGCGGTTTTGATTTGTATTTCCCCTAATGCTTAGTGAGGTCAAGCATCTTTTCATGTGCTTATTGAACATCTGTGTGTCTTCTTTGGAAAATATGTCTATTCATGTCCTTTGTCCAGTTTTTAATTAGGTTGTTGGTTTTTTTGTTGTTTGGTTGAAGGGGTGCTTTGTGTAGTCTGGATATCAATCCCTTATCAGATATGTGTTTTGCAAATGTTATGTCCATTTCATGAGCTGCTATTTACTTTATGAACTGTGTCCTTTGATGCACAAAAGTTTTTGATTTTGATGAAGGCCAACTTATCCCTATTTTCTTTTGTTGCCTATACTTTTGGTATAACTCTCCAGAAATCCTCATAAAATACAATGTCATAAAGTTTTCCTCCATGCTTTCTTCCAAGAGTTTTATGGCTTTAGCTCTTATAGTTAGGCCTTCAGTCAATTTTGAGTTAATTTTTTTAATTTGGGGAACATATGATGGATTTATCTATTATTCTTGCACAGGGACCATGTTCATCTACTCTGTGTAGTTCCAATTTTATTAAATGTCCTACTGAATCAGGCACTGAAACAAAATCCTTGAAAGAAATGCATTAACATTAACGTCTGAAAATAAAACTGTTTATAAAACTTACATAAGTGCCCTCATTTCCTAACCTGGGGAGCCAACGTATCTATCCTGGATCCACCAGACCTTGTCACTGTCTCAGCACATGCCTGCCTCCTGCACTCTCAGTGGAGCTTCCCCTCAAGGCTCTGGGTCTGACCCTCACGTAGTCACCCTCTATGCCTGGCCAGTGTCTTTACCACCTCAGTACCAACCCAACGCAATGGGGACACAGCAAGATTTTTTGGCCCTCGTCAATGGTTCATGAATACAGATGGAAGCTGCGATGTGGATATATTTCAAAGAATGTATGTATTGATTTTAAAAAGGGGGTTGGTTTAAAAGCCTGTGCATGGAGAGACTAGACCCCCAGATACTTTACCTG